CGATTTAGACACATCCAAACATAATGATATACCGATTTCCTTGAAGAGGAAATTTTTTAAAACCTTTGCCAGTTCTGACCTATGGAGCAGCGACCTAAATACACACAAAATCATCATCCAGAAAGCTATGTGTCACACAAGGTAACATGGAAAGATCGATGCTTGGAATAACACAAAATGAGGAATGACTAAATCCTAGCAAAAACTGTAGTGGAAAACAGAATGCAGTCAAACGTATAAAATCTAAATACAGATCTGCTGGTGATATCGGAAGACAGAAAAATGGAAGATGGAACAAAAAAGATTTTTGAATGGAGAGCGAGATCTGACAACCCCTACCGAGGAAGACCTCCGACGAGATGGATGGATTATCAATCTGAAAAGAATAAATACAAACTAGATTGCAACCGCTCAAAACAAAGAGATGCGAAAATATCTGGAGGAGGCCTATATCCGGCAGCCGACGAAAATGGATGAGTGATGATGACGTCTCTAAGTTTTGCAGATGACCAAACATTAATTGTACTGGGTTATGATGACCTAGAGTACATGCCCCGTAAATTGATAGAAGATATAGCAAGAAATAAGATTTCGAAGTGAATCTGACGAAAACAGAATAATTGTATTATTGTGGAGTATAGATGAGGAAGCTGAATAAAGAAGAGGAGGAGACTTTGGGTATGATGAGAGGAACGATAACGATACCTTGATGAACTATCTACAAGAAAAACATCTATATGCAATGAACTTGTGCTATACGAAGAAACCGCAAAGAAAGTAGACATGGCTCAGCCCTAAATGGAACAACGAGAAATGAAATTGACTACATACTGACCACTGAAAAATATATTATTAAAAATGTAACAATCCTGAACAGATTCACCACAGACAGCGATCACAGAATGGTCAGAGCAAAAATACGTATCGATGGCAACTTTGAAATGAAAAAAAAAAAAACTAATGGAAACAAGGGACAACTAGACATGACCAAACTTGCACAAAATAAAACCATATATACAAAGAGAGACTGAAGGAACAACTGACCCACAACTTGAACAGCTATAATCAAAACATAGATAAAATTTACGATAGATTAGCGGAAGGCATGGTTAGGGTAGGAAAAGAAATTGCAGAAAAAGATAAAAAGAAGGAAGATTGCATATCAGAAGAGACAAAGAAACTCATGAAAAGAAGGCGGAAACTGAACGAAAAAGGGAAAAAGAAATCGATAGAATACACAGAAATCAATAAGACCATCAGAAAAATGATAAAAGAAAACAAAAGGATATCATAAATATCACACAACTCTTTTATACAGAACGATATCATACAAAAAAGGAACCACCGGCAGAAATCGTAAAACAGCTACAAACTAAAATAAAGAATGTAAACTCAAAACTACAACCCGAAATAAGCAAATTGGAAATAAAGAGGGCTTTGAAAGAAATGAAAAACAGCAAAGCACCTGGAAAAGACGGAGTCCCGGTCAGAAATGCTAAAATACGGTGGAAAAACGGTATGAATCCATAACCATCATCCTTTATAAGAAAAATAATAGAACAGACTTGCAAAACTATCGACTTATAACACTCCTTAATGGTAATTTATAAGCTCTTCACAAAAATTCTCACCACCAGGCTAACAATAATTTGATGGTTACCAATCGAAAGAGCAGGCCGGCTTCAGAAAGGGTTTCAGTATAAGTGATCACCTATTAACCATGAAAATCCTAATAGAACGAGCCAACGAATATCACATCCCACTATATATTGCATTTATCGACTTCGAAAAGAATTTTGATAGGAAGTGTTGAACACTGGGCAGTAAAGAGCTCATTAATTAATAGCAGAATAGACTACAGATACACAGACCTAAAAACTAACATATATAGCGAAGCAACAACAACTGTTAAAATTCATGAGGGAACAAAACCAATACCCATAGGAAGAGGTGTCACACTGAGCGATACAATATCACCTTAACTTTTCAACCAGGCCCTGGAAGATGTTTTTAAAAAACTGGAGTGGGAAGAGAAAGGTATAAAAATAGGCGGACAACACTTGAGCAACATAAGATACGCGGATGATATCGCCCTAATAACTGATAAGAAAGAAGAAATGACGGAAATGCTGGAAAAACTTGACACAGCAGCTAAAAACATAGGTCTCAATATAGAAAAAAAAGATTCAAATATGTAGTTAGCAAATTGTACTGGAGTAGGTTCCTGAAATGTCAGATGTTCTCCTTCAACATTAAAATTTCCACAAATGTAATGGTAGAAGCTTATGTCAATAATGCGTAATGTTGCGTCCTTTTGTTAGTTGTGTAAATTCGCCGTCGTATAACATAGCTTGTTTATTGCATAATATTTTATCCCCACTATCTACAACTTTCAATTATAATTTTAAAGAATTCTTATGAATTTGTGGATTTCTCCAAGACAGTTTTGTTGCCTCCTGACTACATACTGGTATCCTTGGATGTAGTTTCCCTTTTTACTAACATTCTTTATGTACAACTAGTGTAACCCATCTAGCCCTGTTATTGCAAACTTGGTTATGAACGACCTTGTTGTATGTTGATGATACATTAGCTGCCATCCCAAGAACTGAACTCAATAATGTCCTAAATTATTTTAACAACTATCATGAGAAATTACAATTTACACTGGAGTATGAAAGTAATGGCAATCCCGTTCCTTGATCTTATGGTGCATATAGAACCGAAACTGGTACAATGTTGACTAATTGGTACATGAAACCTACTAGCTCTGGTCGACTTCTGAATTTCTATTCATGCCATTCTTCTACTCAAAAGGTAGCGACTATCACTAACCTGCTGTTTAGATCTCTAAAACTTATTCGATGAATCATTTCATGAGAGTAACCTTATAAAGATCAAGGAACTGTTAAAAGATAATAATTATCCGACCAATTTCGTCAATAGGACGATCACTAGGTTCAAACATAAAAGGATTATGGAGTGTAAAAATTATAATAATAGTGACGTACCTACGTAACAACAAGAGATATTTAAAATTTCCGTTCATACCTGGTTTATCTAATAAAATTCGAACCAGCCTCAACAAACAGGAGTGCTCAACTTTTTACAATAACAAGACAGTTAATCAACTGAACTTCGTTGACCAGTCAGAAACAACTACTCCGAGGGCAAATACCCCTACCGGCGTTGAACTACACTGATTGGTCTGAGCTTTCGTTGGCAATGAAAATTGTTAGAAAAAAAAAAATCTTTCTAACAGTTAATCAACTGTTCACAAAATTAAAGAATAAACTTCTTGTTGATTACGAATCTAATGTCATCTATGGTATCCCATGTAAGGATTGTGTTAACAAGTTTTACATAGGTCAAACCAGACATTTGCTTAGGGAACGACTGATAGAGCACAGATATGATTGTGATATACCTAACAGAATGGACTCAACAGCCCTTAGTCTTCATCATCACACTACCAGCCATGAGTTTGGATTCTCTCATCCAACAAATTTCGATAAGGAGTCTAATTTCATAAAGAGGAATATCAGTGAAATGATCAGTGTTAAATAAGTGACAGGGATGTTAAATGCATGAGACAACAATATCTCTCTATGAATTCATATCGGTTCTGACCTTCAGTGCAGATTATTGATTTATACAGTTGACATCCTATATTTTGTTTATTTACTTTGTGTGTGATGTTATTAATCATAGGTGTTCCATATTACAATTCACTTATGTATTTTATGTTCTTATAGATAATGGCTACTTTAACATCCCTGTAACTCTTTAAGATTGGTAAGTGAGAAAAAAGAATTATATTAATTAAAGCCGTGGTTCTTGATAATACCTAATTCATATGGATCAAAATCGCATACCATTGTGTATGAATAATGTAACAACGCATATACCGCTTGAGAAATTTGTAATAAACAACGAAATATTGGGAAATTCAATTGGAGTTTCACTACCTGCCTTGCCCTATCTCCCGCTACATATATATAATCGTTGTCGCTTATGTCAATATCTTGAAGACCAGACCTAGAGAAAATATTATGCTGCTTCAAATTTCATTTAGGTAGGTATACTTACACCAAAACTTCATTAGATTGTTGTATATGAGATCTGTAGAACCTAAGAACCTAGTCATCATAAAGTTTGTATAATCAGAAATGGGAAAGAAATGCAAAGGAAGAAGGAAAATGAAAGAGGACCCTTGAACGCCAAAGCTTATAAAGTAAGTCCAATCCCAGTAGAAGATAATAAAATCAGATTGCAAAATTCGACATCGAGACGTTGGAATGATATTGGTATTGTAATTGAGGCTGGTCCATGCATATCAAATCTTTCAGAAGATTCCTGAAATCAATATACACTCAGACCTGAGGAAAAAGATTGGAAATAAGAGTGCAAAAAGGAGGTATTGAGTTACCTCTTCTCATATAGATAGCATTTTGTGTTGAATTGATTGATTTTAGGATATTTATGGGTAGGTAGTAAACAAAAAAACAAGTTAGAGAACATCTTCGTTTAAGCTTAATGCATATTGATTTATCCATGCAATATGTTCAAAATATACCAGAACCTAAAGACACGTGCGTACATCTCTTTTGTTCCAGCTTCATCTGGAACAAGTTTTCTATTGCTGTCTCTAAAGTCACTTTCGAAGCAATTTCAAAAGCTGTTCCATAGACATTATCTCTTCTAACTAAAAGCTAAATTGCTCTATTATAGCTACTCAAAAAGCTATCAACCGAAAATCGATTGATATTCTCTCCCATGCTCGGACCTCTCTAGGCCTGGTTCGTATCACAAATCTACCGCTAATGTATGGTAATTTAATAAAACAAAAAAATACTGAAGCTGTCAAAGCAGGAGGCAAAGTAACTATTAAAACTCCCACCTAACGACCGAATCGTTGGGCGTGTCCTGTTTAAACCGCGGCTCCGAACCCCAAGTCAATGAATCCTTCGAGGTGACTCGCCGACCAGTCTTTTGTTTTAGCTTAGATGAGTGCTCGGGCTTGATGATCATCAATATCAGAGATACTCTTAACGGATTTTTCAGTGATAAGTTAGAGATTCTTTTTGTGATAAAATTTGTGAATGTGAATTTTGGAGTGGTGGCATAGAAGGGTTTTTCTCGTAGTGATTCTACAAGGGGTAAGTTTCTTCTTGGGTTAGTTCTTGAAACTGTATTTTTCATTTAGGATTTATAGTTAACTATGATTTGAACCAAAGGTTGTGTACTCGCTTATCTTTTTCAAAATTCAATGCTAACACTCGTCAGTTGATTAATTAGTTTGAAACATCAAATAATAATTTCTTAATTTCTTGGTAAATTTGCCGACAAATCCTTTTTCTTCTAGATTATGGAGACTTGAATCCATTAGCCAGGGATTTAAGATATTTTTCCGATTACCATCAACGTAGGTTCTGCTGTGGATCTTTAAATTTTGATATCTACAGTTTTAGTATTGTTTGGTTTATTTGTGAGAAGAATTAAGATGAAGAATTATTCTTCTTCCCACTACTCCTAAAACTTTTTTAGTTCTCCAAAGAAATTTTCATTTGACTTGACGACATAATTCAAATCTCGTATTCTTCCAAGGTGTATCTAGTGATGAGTCTAATAAAACTTTTTCTTGTAATGAAGTCTTATTCCATGGTTTTTGGATCCTAGTGAACTTGGAATGATAGTTGAAATCGAAAGATTTAATGTATTGAAATATGATGTCTGCGGAGCTGAAAAAACTAAGATTTCTTCAAGCAACTGTGGAAATTTGTAGAAATTACCTGAAATTTGTTGTTTTCACACAGAAAGTTCAAAAATTCAAGGGCTGAGGATTTAGATTTCTAGATTGCAATAATATGAAGAAAGAACTAAATTTTCTTATCAATATCTGTAAAAAAATAATACCTACATGATGAAACCATCATGTTATTCTAAATGACTGGCCAAAGGGTGCTCAACTAAATCTACAAATAACCTATCTAATTCACGGTTGAAAACAAAATAGATAAACACATTAGTGACTAATTTTTTGTACGTATTAGTCACTAGGTATTTGGTTGTTTTTACCAATAGACTCAGAATTATTGCTACATAGAGAAAAAACATCAATTAAGAATTACGTCAAATAACACTACAATAGTTTACTTATCATTGGGCCATTAGGGTTTTATCTTTCACCTACTGTATTTCACCATTTTCTTGACTGATTGTAGCTATCATAATAGAAAGGTGTTTGCCGTAGGACTAAAAAAAAACGATAAGCAGCTAAGTAGTTTTTCAACTTTTCAATCCATAATGTATTGTTTTTGTGTGTAATTTTTGTGATAAGCCGGGGAAAACGATAAGTAAGTATATGGCTTATCAGGCAAAAAATATACTTACTGTGAATTGTTTTCAATTATATTGAGACCCTCAGGAGCCGGTAGGGCATATCTTATGGTTCGACATTATTTTAGTTTTGGTATTGGACAATTTTAAACTTTGGGGCAAGAGAGAAGAACCTAAAGTATTTGAGTATTCGTTGCACTTGTTATTTATCAAAAAAAGAAAAAAAAATCGAAAGAAAGAATCTAAAATATACTTCGAAGAGATGGAGCCACATGCTATAATAGGTTTATTCCTATCTTACCGTTGGCTTTTCCTGTAAACTTGTTTCTCTCAAGTTGGTATGCTTTCTCCATTTGACGAAAGCTAATATGTATGAGCTCGAAACCAGTATGCAAGTGACCCAGCATTAAATGATTGAGAGTTCAGGTCCTCTTCATTATCCTATAGAGCAAGACCATACATTTTGTTTAATCTAATTTGACCGTGACCATAGAAGTCTGAACAATACAAACTCATATAGTATGAGTTAACAGCAACATTTGGAGCTTCAATAAGTACGAGAAAAATTTGTCTATGGTTTTATATCTTATCTGTGTTATATCTTTTCATTCTATAGTCTACCACCATTCTCCATTTTTGAATACTGGAGGCATCTTTCTTTTTTGGTACTATCCAAACTGGGGATGACCAAGGACTGCATGATAGTCTAATTATATCATCTAACATTTTTTCGATTTGTTTGTTAACTTCCATTTTATGAATATAGGGGTATCTATATGTTTTTGTATGAATTGGAATTTCATCTTTAGTTTTAATCTGATGTTTCACTTGATTTGTAAATGTCAATTTATCATCAGGTTGATAAAAGATTTTTGGAAAAGCGTGTATAACAACTTTTGGTGCCGCAAGCTCTTCTGTATTTAAATGATTAGTACGCAAAAGATCTAAAGATTCTAGAGATTTTGTTCCATGCTCATAATTTTGTAATGGCATTATTTGCTCTATAACGATGAGCTAGATTCCAGTTAACCACATTAATGAACGATGACTATGAGGCTATAGGTTTTTTATGTTATATTTAGGATGACGTCATCGAACAAGGACAGACAATGTTGTCAATGCTTTTTTTTATAATTTACCAATGTTCACCAGAATTTCATAATTCTGACGACAGCTAAAAATGACAAAATGAAAATGACGCCGTTGCCAACCAAAAACATCTGTAATTCCCCTACTTTAAATGCGTTGAAAAGTACTTTTAGTTTTGTTAGGTTGGCAGCAGAAATTTACTAAATGTGACGTCATCCTAAATATTACGTAAAAATCCTACAACGACGTAGTTATAGCTTTCACATAAGGGGGGTTTAGAGCAGTAATGGCAGCTCATGGTCTATGCTGGAAAGGGTTTCAATTTTAGACCAGACGATGTATAAGCGACCAGGCGTAGCATAGTCAGAGCTGTTTCGAGTACAGGCAAAATGTACTCAGCTACCGGGTACAAGTACTTAGCGTAGAATATTCTTAAGTACAGAGTACAATTACAAGTATTCAATACCCAAGTATTCAAAGTACCGTGTACATTTATGAATACATTCTAATACCACCAATGATGTCATAGGTACAAATTATTACGCAACGTCCTCTTCTAAACAGCCTTGATCTATCAAGGAAATCTAATGAATCCTCATAGGCTGCAAGCGCTGAGGTAGCTACGAACTTAGCATTGCAATGGGTTATGACGTCACTTCCCCTCTCAAACTTCCGTCACATTTCCCGAAATTTACCATCAAATCGCCGGTATAGATGTTCACACATCAAAAATTTTGGTTTACTAAATGAATTCAGCAATTTTGAAGTTTGATTTAGTTATCCAGAGTCCAGAGTTTATAAGGACTCCAGTATAACTGCACAAATTATGATGTATTATTATATATTCTGAATCAGAATTAAATTATCTTTAAGATAGAATAAGATTCAATTCTCTATCTTAAATATTTCTGGAGATATTGAGGCTCAAAATCAAAACTTTGTCTCAAATTTCACAAAAGATTCAAAGCTGATTTTCTTGAAAAAGAAGCCCTTGAGCTGGGAATCTCAAATTACCTTTTTTATAGCCCTTCTCAAAAGCTACAATTGGGCAAAAGATTCATGTCGATAGCTCCACTAGTTTTCAAAATATGGCCCTTTGAAATATTTGAAAATCAAATTTCCATGCATACTGAAAAAATTTGAATTTTTAAATTATTGGATTTGGCAATTTTTGACTTCACTAATCGAAAGAGGAGGTGAAAATTAGTGGAAAAGCATTCACGCAGCTTTGTTTTTTGAGTTTTAGAGCTTGTAAGAAAATAAAAACCGTTTTTCCACATTTTGGGCCCAGAAAATTTCAATATTCTGACATTGTCTCACACAATCGCTCATTACTCGGTTATTATTGCAACAAATATGATGTAAAATTATATATTCCGAATCAGAATTAAATTATCTTTAAGATAGAATAAGATTCAATTATCTATCTTAGATACTTTTGGAGATATTGAGGCTCAAAGTCAAAACTTTGTCTCAAATTTCACAAAAGATTCAAAGCTGATTTTCTCAAAAATGAAGCCCTTGGGTTCGGAGTCTTTAGTGAAAATTTCAGCTTTCTATCTATAATAGAAAAAAAGTTATGACCTTTCGAAGTTTTCCAAAATCTAAATCATAAGATGTGCTTTATGAGTTTGCAATTGAGTTGCTTATGACTGTGTTTGGGTTGTTTCAAGGTAGCTTTTGATAATTATTGTAAAAGGAAATCAGAATTTCCAAATTTATGGCCACAGATACAATTTCACAGTGTACAGAAAAGTTCAAAATTTTGGAACGCATGCTAAGCATCTGATGCTAAACAAGAAATGGCTGAAAATTGGTCATATCGTAACCGTTACATAATAGGTTTGTTCCAACACAGCAGGAAACCGTACAATTTATTGTCATGATTCTGCGCAAACTGTAAAATTTGCGCGTAGAAACCGAAATTCATTCACTGAGTGGTTTCGAAACCGTTCATGAGACGGTTTTTGACGTGTTGGAACAGATCTAATGTCAGATCTCAACTTGTCTGGGGTCCGATTTTCGAATATTTTCGTATACGAAATTTGATACGATTTCGAATGCTCCCCATTTAATTTACATTGCTGTCAGTCAAATTTCGTGTACGAAATGTACTCGAATGGTTTCGAAAATCGCACCCCTGGAAATGTACTTGTGACCAAATAAATATGTATTTAGTTACAGTCCAATAATTTTACTCACCAACTGCAAATCTATTCGAAAACAATGAAAATTTAACAAATTTATTTAAGTAAAAACGCATGTACGCGGATATTTTGAAAACTACTCAGTACAATAAAAAGTACCGGGTACCTATTTTCTATATTCTTAAGCAGTCCAAGTACGCGATTCAAAAAGTTTTTTGGACTGAGTACCGAGTAACTAAAAATATACTTAGAGTACAAATGAAGAGTACTGGTACCGTACCCGAGTACCGCACAGCTCTGAAACTCTTCAATAAAAATAATTTATTCAGTTTAATGGGGGGGGGGTTCTAACCCCCAAAACCCCCCCCTTATATACGTCCTTGAAATCCTATACTGCAAAATTCTGTTTATTAACTGTATATTCGTACTCAACTAGAATTCATTGAACCTGATAATTCCTCACAAAAATTCACTTCCAATCTCGAATATCTGTCCAAACTAGATTTTTTTCATTTACATATGTATATAGGTAGGCCTATCGCAAATCCCTTGTTACTAGTTAAACTAATTTGTTTCTTGTGGCA